GTTTCCAAATCTCTCTCTTTACCAGGTAAATATCTGCCAGTTTCAATAGCTTTCTTTAATTGTGAAAATATGTAAGAGAAATTTGGTCTACCGTAATGAGTGCGTGATTCCAAATCTGTCAATGGATCATATGATCCTGATACGTCATTTATAATGATATTTTGTATGGTGGATTCACGTAATTTTGATGTAAGATAAATATGGAATTTTAAAAATCCCACTTCGAATTGTTGATCTTCTAATGATTTTAAAAGTGATTGAAACCATTCAAATGATCCGGTGTCACGACAAATCCAAAAGAATTCTACACGTCGTAACTTTGAATGACCTTTGTTTTGTTGTTGATACCTAAGATGAACGAAAGAGGTTATTACCACTCTTCTATTAAAAATCGCGGTCATTTTTTTTTTAAAAAAAAAAAAAGGTTAAAAAAGAACACTTACCAGATGTTCTTCAAGATTGAAGCAAAAGGAGTCACACCAATACCACAACCGATCAAAACTGCAATTTCGTTTTTGAAAACGTCTTCGGCGGGGGTACCAAAAGCACCATCAATACGAAGTAAAGGTAGGTCTTTTGGTATGGCGCCTTTTTCATTATTACAACCAAGTAATTCACCTAATGTATTTGTAAAATCACCAACTTGACGAACATGTACGGAGACATAAGGATCATCAGGGGCAGAGGTGATAGTGAAAGGATGCCATTGGAATGAAGAAATTTCAGGAACGTTTAAGAATAAATATTGACCAGCCTTGTACTTGAAGGATGGTTTTTGAAATTGAATTTCAATTGCCTTTGAAGGGTGATAAATAACTTTAGTGATTTTAGTGGTTTGACGAGATCTAACTTCTCTTAGGACACGTTCAAAGAAATAAATGATTCCACCCCAAATCGTCCAATGCCAAGAGAAATAACCTTTACAACGTTTTGGTTCGGTTGGCGTAGGTTTTGTCGATACGAAGCAACCAACCGCATGTGTATAAAGACATAACATAAAGAAGAAAGCCAAATGATGAGTGTACCAAAAAGTTTCAAAAGACTGTTGCCTCAAGGAACGATGAGCGGAGGTATACATTAAGACCATTATAAGTAACATGAAATGACCGGTTATACCGCCAGGATGCATATAATGAACAGCCCAAGCTTTTCCAATTCCTAATTCTTCAACCCTTATGAAGTTTATATAATGGGCAAAAGTATGAACCAAAGTCCAAAGTAACATGGAATATGCGCATTGACGATGGAACCAAAGATTTTCATCGAAAGGGATAAGCTTATTTAAAAAGGTGAGACGTAAATATTTAATTATGTTTCTACAAACTGGTAAAAGAATTAAGGCGCCGTCATAAGCTAAACATAGACCAGCACCACGAGAAACTGTCACCGACAATCCGATCTTTGTAAGGTGAGCAAGCTCTGGGTCGTCCTTTTGCTTTATGAAGCCATAAACGAACAAGAATATATGACTACCAAACCAAAAAATCCAAAAAAACAAACGCTTTGGTGTAAATTCTCTTTCAATAAATGATTCGGCCATTTTCCGGAAATGACTTTTAATATATGCTCAAAAGGAAGAAAATATTTAAAAAGAATGAACGAAAATTTTTATGCGAAAATAGAGGGAAAAGAGGGAAGGAAAGGTAGTTGAGAGGTTTTTTAAGGAAAAAGAGAAAAAATGTATGCATATAATTTTCGTTTATTTTTTTTTTTTAATCTTTTTTTTTTTTTTTTTTAAAGTACCAAAAAGTACTATCAAAGTACAGAAACGACCAATAATTAACACTACAAATGCAGTATTTATATGTAAAAATGAGAGAGGGGTAATAAAATTGTTTCTGGTTATAGTTTAGGAAAATTCAAAATGTAACACATGATCTATTTTGGCTTAAGGTGATCTAATGAAGTCACTTATTATTTTTTCATGTCACCAAATGAATGTTTCAAACTTTATCTATAATACAAATAATATTTATTCCCCTTGTTACAAATCTTTACATTCTGCATTACTTTGATAAAATGTGCATTTGTGGAACCATGTTAAAAATGGTATGATGGAATTTCTGAAAAAATGGTATTCAAATTAACTTGCGTAACGTTGCACTAGGTAATATTGATTTGAAACATACGCGTTTTTCTTTTAAATTATTATGGTGCATTTATTCGTATCTTCAATATTGAATACTTTGCCGGTAATCCTAACGTTTCCAAGGATAATTGAGGAGGGTTGGTTGGTTTTTGCAAAATAATGCTTTCTTTTTTGGACATCTGATGAATCATATCAAAATCGCAAAAATCCTTTGACCAAATAAAATTATTCCCTTTTTTTTTTTATTCAGGACATCCAGGTAATTACTGCGTCAACAAATAAATATCAAATGAGACATATTTAACGTACGATTTATTTATTTTTTTTAATAATAGATAAGAGATGTGAATTTTCTTCATCACACGATTTTTTGATAATTAGTGTTTGGTGCATAATTTGTCTTTATACGGGTCGAGGGTTTTAATTGGTTTGGGTAATTTATAATGACAATCTGCCAATCTGAATATAATTTCCGGAAACATCCGGAATCGAGGTTTGTTGCTATCTGACAGATTTTTGTGGACGGGGGGTTTTTTTTTTTTAGAATGTTCAAGTTCAAATCATTTAAGGTATTGACTCAAATTTATTTAATTCTTCTATAGTAAGGAGACTTAAAGAACCTGAAAATCAAATTGCCTATTTTTTTTTTACGATGCTCATCCCGAAACTCACACAGATCGACTCAAACACACAAATAATTTACGTTTACTATTATTATCAATTTAATTGATTTTCTATTTCTTAATTCACTTAATAGGAAACGGTAAGTTCATTGGTTTTCTATAATTGGATAACTGATGAATCATTAGGTTTATGATTTCGGTCTATTTATATTGGTCGTAATTGAATACAAGAAAGATTTCTCGAAAAAAAAAATGTTACAAACAAAGGTATCGAGTTAAGCCCGATTGTTAATTTCACGATCTGCTTTAAAAATTTTACGTGTACTA